GGCCCTGCTCTCAACCAGGTAAGAGGCTTCTTCTACTGTTGGTGCAGAAACAAGACAGTCGTCTACATAAAATTAATTTCTAATCACATTGGCTGCCACTGTGCCATGACCTTTGTCATCTGCTGTCCTTTTCAGGGCAAAACTAGCATAACTTGGTGACGAAACTGCCCCAAAGGGATGTAAAAACATTCGGTATTCCACTGGTTTCTGTGAGATGTTACCACCAGGCCACCATGAAAATCTTAGGCAATTACAATCTTCCATGGGGATTCTTACTTGTGAGAACATCGATTCGATATCTCCCATTATTGCAATTTCTTCCTCACGAAATCGCAGGAGTACTCCAAACAGATTGTTATTCAAGTCTGGACCTTGCAGAAGAACTTGGTTTAGTGATACACCCCATAGGTGGCTGTGCAGTCGAATACAACCCGAACCTTTTCAGGTTTACGTGGGTGGTACAGCATGGTGAGGAATATACCACACTCTTCCATCACCTCTCCTCAAGTCCTTCTGTGGAACCCTTTCAGCATAGCCATTATTCAGTATCTTGGACATGAAAATGGTGTAGTCTTGTGCAACCTTTACATTGCTTTGGAGTTTCCGCCTTAGACTATTAAGACGTTTCAAAGCCATCTCTTTGTTATCAGGCAACTTTACCTTACTATCGTTGAAAGGTAATCCAATAGAATAATGGCCATTCTTGTGAGTTATAGACTTGTTTACCAATTTCAAGAATTGCTTGTCCTGTTTGAAATATTCTCTCTTGTCATCACTCAATCTTTCTGGAAAGTCTAAGTTGATGGTGTTTCTGACTAAGGCATCAAGGCTCTTTAAATCTTCTATCTCTTGTATAGCTGCAACTTTTACTGTCTCTCTTCCCTTGGTTATCACTTCTGACAAGGTTCCAAACTATCCACCCCAGCATGGTTCTAGCAGCATGAGGGCTGCCGCTCTTGCCAGTTCTTACCTCAAATGGTGTATATGCGTTGGGTATGTTACTACCAAGCAGCAAACCTATCTCCATTAATATGGGGCAAGTTAATATACTTAAAGCGCTCCCACCTGGCCAAATCTTCTGTTGTTGGTATATGATGTTGAGATATAGGAATTTTGTTTTTAGTGCATAATGTAGGCAGGTCGATTATGTTTGCCACATCTAATCCAGAGATTTGTAGCCCTTGTATAGCTAATGTGGTCATAGAGAAAGGCAATCCCATAGTTTCAAGAGTTATTGCCTTTTTCTGGCCTGTTGCCCCTAGTCCTCTTGTCAGACTATCACTGATAAAGAAAACACTGCTCCCAGGATCTAGGAAAGTATATGTTTTTAGCACCTGGAGCCCGTTTTTCAATTGGGTGTTCACTGGGACAACCGCCATAGTACATTGTCCTTCACTACCAGCACTCGTATTGACACTTTTCGCAAAGTTGGAACATTCTTCTTCTTTTTTATCCTTTATTTGTTCCCCTTTGCGTCTGCTTGAGTCATGAAGGCTGGTGGGGTGACGCAGCTTTCAAATATCACACATTGACCTGGTTCAACAATCTTTACTTAGATGCCCTTGTTTCAGACATCCATAGTGTAATAATTAGATTATGACAACCTTTGATGAACACTAATATTAAGATGTATTCAACGGTAAATCTCCGAAGTAACAATTCAATCAAGATGGCGTATATCGTACGACCCAAACTAGCACGCTGAACGCGAGCGCATAGCAACAAGTAATAAGAGTGATTAACTATAGAGGGCGCTATATCGTTACACCTTTCCTTTTTTAAAGGCATAAACAGGTTATAATTTATAATCCGGCAACAACAGTATTAAATTTTTTAAGTTCATACAGTATATCAAAGTTATAAATGCTGTCTCTTATACACATCTTATTAACAATGGGAAAAAATTATCTGAACGTTTTCAAGAGTGGAAATGAGATTTCCCGACTTCTGAAGTATTTTTCAATGACTTTAATTTAAAAGACACCTCAGAAGTCGGGAAAGCTCATTTCCCGGCTTCTAGGAATCAAAATTTTCCTGGGGAAGAACCTCCGGACCCCCCTTTCTTTTTGGGATTCATCGATTCATGGAAAATTCGTATGCAACTACTCATTTTTTTTTAAATT